TGTGTGTGTGTGTGTGTGTGTGTGTGTGTGTGTGTGTGTGTGTGTGTTTGTGAGCTCATGCGGGTGGGTGAATGGCCTTGAAATGGGGGCAGGTGTGACTCTTTATGCTTTCAGACACGGTAAGCAGAGGTCAGAGGCTGAGCTGTGAATGAAGCGGTCAGGTGTGCTGGCCATTTCAGCAGCAGGTTTTAAGGTGCAAACACGGCACTTTCTGCATTGACCTCTAACCATTATGTCCAGATGATAGCTTAACCTGAAGGCCCAAGAACCAAGATGAATGCTCTTTCCTCTTAACTGGTGACACATGAAGTCACCAGTGCATCAGGAAAGCTTGGAATATGGAAAAGCTTAAATTCAGGGAATGGAAATATTGCCATTACACTGATTTTGTCAGGAGAAAAGGTAATCTGAGCACAGATTTGAAAACTGTGGCATTATGGAATAAATTTTATTACTATAATGAAAAATCTTATGAACTTATGTGATTTCTTTTGATAAAATACTTCATGAAATATAAGCATATTTGGGTAACAGAGAAATCATAGCTAATTAGCTTCAAGCTACACATGACAATTAATATAACACTTTTACTTAAAAGACACTTATCAATCACCATTGAGTGTTTGTAATAACTTCTGATTGTGATCCAATGTAGATTTTGGTCAAATGATGAGGCAGAAATATATTGTTAGTAACATTTTAGAAGAATTTTATGGGGAAGATACACAATTACAACTACTGTGGCATGAAGGAACAGTAATGTAACTAGTAGTGTAACTAATTATTTTAGCCAGAAAGTAATAAGTAATAATATTACTTTTGAAAGGAGTAACTAGTAATGAGTAATAAATTACATTTTTGGAGTAATGAGCCCAACACTGATTAAATCTGACTGAACCCAAACTTTTGAACAATAGTTTACTTTTAAACATAAATATCTAAATATATAACTTTGTTACAATGTATAATTTAATCAGAGTTACATTATCTAACACAAAAACAAGTGATTTTGAATGAATGTTGTTTGGGGTGACATTACATTTAGGAAATTAAAACTATTTACAAATAAAGGTCTAGAATACGTCCTAATTTGAAATGTAGTGACTATAAGAAGGATTTAAATAAATATTTTGCGATTAGAAAGACCCAGAATACCACTAAGGGACTCAAATGTATTTTGAGTTCATTTGCATTATGAACCGTCTGAATGAACTGATTCTTTGGAATGAACTGTATTTTCCATCAAAACAGAACACAGGAGTCTCAATGTGCTTTTGACAGTTAAACTTCTCTTGATGTGGGGTGACAAAGCTTGTGCCGGGACACTCAAAAAATAGTGGCAGTCTAGACTAGGCCTAATCTCCAGGAAACAATCTTTTAACATGGCTCCTAATGAATGCCTTTACGGTCTGTTACCAACAGTGAAGTACTGCGTAATGAATGTAAGGCTTTATAAGAGAAGCCAATGAATCTCGTTTTTTGATGCACTGATCTCAGATTTCACAGCTGATGAGACTGCCACGTTGTTTTCCCATTGACTTCATCTCTTTTGGTCTTATGTAACCCCATGTTTCTAACTGCCTACATTTCAGGTCAGACCTTGATAATGACCCCTTAATCAAAAATGTGTTGCCAGGCTCTCGCAGTCTCTCTCTTTTTGTAATTAACATACTTGGTGTCAGTCAGTCGCAGATTTAGTGTAGTCTACTGTTGGAGGGATGTTTCACCTGATACTTTACATGAGCCGAGCAGATGTTGTTTTGGTTGAAACAATTCACAGCGAGTAATTAGATTGGTACAAGACATGCAGGCTGTTGATCTCATTGTTGACAGCCAGCCACTCTGTAAAAATATAATTGCATTTAGCATACATAAGATCAACAAAAGGGCTTTTTTGAGTCATGGGTATTAAAACAGGTATAGTATAATATGCCCTGAAATGTTATCCTAACCAGGCTAACGGAGTCTGAACAAACAATTTCACATTGGAGAATATGGCTGGTTTGTTAAGGGTTTGAAAGCTACCTGCATGCCTTCCCACATAATTTATTGGATATAACAATACGTGTTGCATTTATAGTGAATCTATTTATTTATTTACTTACTTACTTTTTACTTGTATTTAAAGGTTATCTGTTTAGAGAAGATAAATCAACTCAAACACTGTTTATTCTTCTCAGGTATATTATGCTTCGTTTCATTGTCTTGAACTATCCGCAAGACATCTTTTCAAGTAAGTGTACTAATGTATTCTGGTTTTCTTGTGATTTATTCCAACTGTCACCACCACCTCCTTTTTAACTCTTCCCCCCATATATATATAAAAAAAGTTATATTTATATAACATATGACATATAATGAAAATGTTATTCATATATATATATATATATATATATATATATATGTGTGTGTGTGTGTGTGTGTGTGTGTACAGTATACAATT